TCCTCACACTTATGGCACCTGTGCTCTCACGGGCAGAGAGTCACCAGGCCACCAGACAAGTGAGCTTAACTACAGCACAGGTGCTGACCCGGAGAACGTTGTGGGTTAGGAGCAGCCACTGCAGGGACTCAGAGCCAAGAGACAGAACAAGAGGGTGAGTGGAAGGTAGTGGTGCAGAGGCTGCCATGTGACCTCTGGGCAATGGGAAGGCACCACCACTGGGTTCCAAGCAGGGAATGCCAGGCCCCGGTCTATGTGCAAATGAGATCATCTAGCTGCTGTGATGCTTTGGGAGGATGGGCTACACAGAGGGTGAGGGTAGAAGATGTCAATGACGTCTTTGTTAGCTTCCCGCTGAATGACGTCGATGAGGGTTTGGTTTCCGATGAGGTTAGAAAATGGCTGGTAATTACAGAAAGAGGTGAGAAGAATATGCTTTTACAGACGCCGTCCACCCATATACACAAAACAAATGACACTTGTTATATTACCTGGGGTGGGGGGATAGTTACAACTGCTCTCAAACTTTAAGGAGCCTTAAGCCAGTGGGGTCTTATTCAGTGAAAAATCCTACAAGTCTGGGGAGAATCTGAGATGAATCCCATCTCCCCTCTGCTGCATCTGTTTCTGGCAGAGTTTCATACGGCCTGATCTAGCCTCAGAGCTGGTGTATAGCTCAGGATAACCTTCATTTTTTCACCTTCTGCATTCATCACCCCAGTATAGGGATTTCAGGTATGCACCACCAAGCTCAGTTTAATGCTGTGCCGGGAATCGAACCCAGGGGTTCATGCACAGTACACATTCCGCTGCATCCCCAGTCAGATTCCACATTCCTGATAGGTTCCTGGGTGTTGCCATAGCCGCTGGTCTATGAAACACCTTTGACATAGCAACATGTGATGAAATTCCATTTCCAGAGCTTCTGGAAATATCAAATTCTTTGGTTAAAAAGTGTAATTTGGGGCTGGCAGTACAAGGTCAGAGGAACATTTGCCTAGCATGCACCCTGCTGGGTTCAGTCTCTAGCACTGAATAAAGAATAAACTGTAGTAGCTCAGGCCTGAAATCCCAGCACTTGCAAATTAGAAGTGGGAGGATCAGAAACTCAAGGTTATCCTTGGCTACATAAGAAGTTTGAAGCTAGCCTGGGCTACATGAGACCCAGTCTCAAGAGAAAAAAAAAACAATTGATCTTGTGCTGGAAAATAGTTAGATATCCTCCAACTATACTGAAGTATAATTGGCAAATTAAAAATTATATATATTTGAGGTCAGCCCAGAACTTGCCAGAGTGAGTGCCAGGACTACACAGAGGAAAACCTGTCTTTAAAAAATTAAATATATTAGACAGATGATGGTGGTGCATGCCTTTAATCCCAGGACTCAGGAGGCAGAGGCAGGTGGATCTCTGTGAGTTCAAGGCCAGCCTGGTCTACAAGAGCTAGTTCCAGGACAGGCTACAAAGCTACAAAGAGAAACCCTGTCTCAAAAACAAAACAATCCCCCCCACCAAAAAACAACCCAAAAAACAACCAAAAAGAAACTGGATATATTTACAGCATACATGTGATGCTTTGACACATATACACTAGGAATTATTGCTAATAAATCAATCAAGCTCGCTAACACACCCACGACTTCACATGATACTGTCCGAAAGAACATTCAAGCCCCTCCTCCCCCTCTTTTTCCTTTTCTTCCTGATATGGCTTCACCACACAGGCCAGGCTGTCCACACTCACGATCCTCCTGCCTCAAGCCTCCTGGGAGCTAGGAGCTACCAGTGTGCACCGCCCTTCCTTCCAGCTCCCTCCCCTCCACAGCAGGTTGTTACAAAGACAGGCCACCCCTTCTGCGCTGGCCCTTCTGGTCTACTTTCCTGCTGTATCATAATGTAGCATCAGACAATTGGTGAGCAAAATAAGCCTTCCTTTTTAAGTTATTCAACCCTCAAGTACTCTGTTTTGGCAATAGAAAGCAGAATAGACATCATGTCTACACTAGAAGGTTAGAATTTGTTCACCTTGCATAGCGGAAAATGTTTTACATTTTCACCAGAATCTTCTGTCTCTATTCCCCAGCTCCTGGCAACTACCATTCTACTTTACGTTTCTATGGGTTCAGCTTTGATTTTGTTTTAATCTGGGGCCTGCGTATACCAACTAAGTGCTCTATGCACCGAGCTTCACCTCCTGTTAAACTCCGTTGTTTTCAGATTCCACATATGAGAGCACAGTGTTTTTCAGAGTCTACTCCATAGCACCCAGCAGAATGCCTTCCATACACATCTACATTATTGCAATGACAGGGATCCTTCCTTGTTTTCTTCTCCCTCCTCCTCCTTCTGGTTTTGGAGTCAGGTGTAGCACTGTCTGGCCTGGAACTAGTTATGCAGAGACACGTCTCTGTCTCCCAAGTGCTAGGATCAAAGACTTGCGCCATTGCCGGGCAGTAGTGGTGCACGCCTTTAATCCCAGCACTCGGGAGGCAGAGGCAGGCGGATCTCTGTGAGTTTGAGGCCGGGCTGGACCGATAGCCTCCAAAACAATACAGAGAAACCCTGTCTCGAAAAACCAAAAAAAAAAAAAAAAAAGGAAAAAGAAAAAGAAAAAAAAAAGACATGTGCCATCATCGTCTAGCTACGGTTCATTCTTAAAGATTGAACAAGGCTGAAGTGTTTACTGCGTAAGAGTTTAGAGCCCCAAAAATCCAAGAAAATGTTAGGTGGGTGTGATGACCCACTTAGTATTGTAGCTTTGGAAGACAGATACAGGGGATCTCTGGAGCAAGATGGCTAGGAGGAATACTTAGATTGACAAGCTCTGAGTTTGATTAAGAACCCCTATCTCAATGAACAAGATGGGAGAATGATCCAGGATGATACCTAACATCCACCTTGGGCCTCCATGTTCACATGAACAGCCACACATGCATGCACGCTCACACACACACACACACATACAAACACACACAGAGAAAAGGGAAAATAAAGACTGAATAATAACTCCATTGTAAATACAAACTGCATTTTCTTTACATGCTCATTTGCTAACAATTAGGCTGTATCCATAGCAGTTATCTTGGATACTGCTACAATGAACGTGGAGTTACTCTTTCATTAAAATATTGATTTTGTTTCATTCGGATACTACACATGTCCAGAAGTGGGACTGTTGAACTATATAGCAATTTCATGGATGTCTTAGTTACTTTTCTATTGGCATGGCAATACACCATGACCAAGACAACTTATGAAAGAAAGCATTTAATGTGGCTTAGGGTTTCAGAGGATTAGAGTTCATGAGGACAGCAACGTGAAGGAATAGCTGAGAGTTCACATCCTGATCTAGAACCACAAGGTAGAGAGAGAGCTAATGGCCTGGCTTGGGCTTTTGAAACCTCAAAGCTCTCCTTCAGTGACAGATGTCCTCCTACAAGGCCACGCCTCCTCATCCTTCCTAGCAGTTCCATCAACTGACCAAATACTCAAAAATATGAACTGGCCGGGCGTTGGTGGCGCACTCCTTTAGCCCCAGCACTCGGGAGGCAGAGGCAGGTGGATCTCTGTGAGTTTGAGGCCAGCCTGGTCTACAGAGTGAGTGCCAGAACAGCCTCCAAAGCCACAGAGAAACCCTGTCTCAAAAAGCAAGCAAACAAAAAAGCTTCAGTAAAGCGGGTGTTGAGCAAGGGTGTGGAGAAAGGGGTGCTGCACAGCCTTGCTGCAAATGTAAATTGGTATCTATTGCCATCATGGGGAACAAAGGAAAAAGAAAACATCATGGTAGCTTGAATGAGAATATCGCCCATAGGTTCATTTTTTGTTTCTCGGTGGCTTTGGAGGCTGTTTTGGCACTCACTCTGTAGACCAGGCTGGCCTCAAACTCACAGAGATCCACCTGCCTCTGCCTCCTAATTGCTGTGATTAAAGGTGTTCACTACCAATGTCCAACTGTTTTTTGGCCTTTGAGACATGACTTTACTATGAATCCCTGGTTGACCTGGAGCTTTCAATCCTCCTGCCTCAGCCTCCTGAGTGCTACAACCACAGATGTGTATCACCTCACCTGGTTCAGAAGAAAGAATTCTTTTAAGAATTGTATTTATTGCTGGGCAGTGGTGGTGCATGCCTTTAATCCCAGCACTTGGGAAGCAGAGGCAGGTGGATCTCTGTGAATTCCAGACCAGCCTGATCTACAAGAGCTAGTTCTAGGACAGGCTCCAAAGCCACAGAGAAACCCTGTCTCAAAAAACAAAACAAAACAAAAAAACAAAAAGAAAAAAAAAGAATTGTATTTATTATTATGTGTCTGTGATGTGTGTAGGGGAGATATGTGTGTGCACGTTTGGAGGTTAGAGGATAACTTGAGGGAGTCTGTTTTCTCCTAATAACTTTATGTGGGTCCTAGGGATCCAACTCGGATTACCAGGCTTGCTCAGCAACCACATTATCTTCTGAGTCCTCTTACTGGCTCTGAAGAAGAAAGCTTTAAAGTCTTGGGGGGGTTAACTATTTTTATGTATAGGGGTGTTTTACCTGTGTGTGTGTGTGTGTGTGTGTGTGTGTGTGTGTGTGTGTGTGTGTACCACCTATGTGCCTGGCGTCAGTGGAGGGCAGAAGTGGACATTTTGTTCCCTGGAACTGGAGTTATAGATGGTTTTGAGCCATCATGTGGGGCCTGGGAGTAAAACTTGGGTCCTCTGGAAGAACCAGTGCTTGTAACTGGTGTGCCATCTCTCCAGCCTAGAAGAATAGCTTGGGTAAGCACCAAGCACCTATCATACATGAAGAACTGTATTAAGTGCTGAGGGGAGGGGCTCAGAGAGACATAGTTGTAAATAGGGTATTGTATCCCAAGTCATGGCACATGGACAGAGAGTCATACTGGGGGTGTCAAGAAGGGAACCTTGGGGAGGGCAGGGCTAGTGTAGCCTTCACAGAGCTCATCTCATAGGGCAGGTCAGAATCCATGATTCATAGGCCAGTGACAATGATTTACCTTTGCTGTATGTCTTCTGGCGTCAGGCATGACTTGTCACCGAACTCCCTGGTCCAGACTCTGGGACTGAGTCACCACTGAGTACACAGGAACATCTCCCTTTCAGTCTCTGGGCCTCAGTTTCCTCCTCTGAAAAAAAAACACAACGGTAACTGCTGAGGATGGTGTGAAGACTCCTTTATGTATTGTTACTGAAAGTTGGTGCATACGCAATGACTCAACACATACATCCTTACTGCACACCAAGCATCTAGCGTGATGCCTGGCAAGTACACGTATCACTGCTCAATCCTTCGGAGGGGTCTGTGGGCCCAGGAGTAAGAATGCCTGTTCTGTAAGTAAAGGCACAGCAGTTTGGAAATGTTTTAACTCTTAGAAGCCTGCACTCTGCTCCCACCCTCCCCTGGAGCTTTCCATGCCGAGGGTGAAGCCCCAGAGATGGGGAAGGGATCAGGATCCTGAGTCCTACATCCCATTTCCCATAGCACTCCTCTCGCTAATGCCCAGATGCCCCGAGTCCATTCCAGATACTGCAAAACAGAGCCGTGCTGCCTCCCTGGGCTTTAAACACCCACCCCCGCAGAAGCCGGCAGCTTTAAGTGTCTTTGGTCCCCAGACTGTGGCTTGTCCAGCTGTTTACTCACTTGGCACCTTGGAGGCAGATGAACCAGAAGTCTGCAACTCAGCCTGCAGGGGCCACATTACAACAAAACCACCCCCACCGCCTTGTGAGATGAGAAAGCTGACTCTCTCCATCTATCTTCATCCTGCTGGTTGGATGCAAATTGCTTCCTCCCACTGAGGCGAAAGAATACTGGTGGGTGGCATGGAGTGACTGGCGCGGGGGGGGGGGGGGGGTGCAGCTGACTGTGGGAGTGGGGTTAGTGACAGGACACCCCGGGAATTCATTCCTCCTTCTGCTGCTCTGACTCTACCCTCCCCCCCACTTACCCATGCTCCTTTAAACACCTGCACTTTCTTTTCCTTTATCCCCAGCTCTTGGCATAGGTTTTACAGACGGGGATTCCAGGTCGCTGTTTCTCTTGACCTTGCATGGGGCAGGAAGCACCAAGGAGGACCGGAAGTAACCAGAAGCAGGCTACTAGGCCACTGGGCAGGCTGCAAAATATTAAGAGAGAGGGAGGTGGGTGCTTCACTTCACTCTGGGCAGAAGAGAGGTCAAGGTGACCTTTATGGGTATTGCTACTAATTCATGTCTTGCTTATGCACAGGGATGGTGGTGGTGGGGTAAGTGGAGACATTTTCACACACGTGTATGTTTATGCTTGCTTCATGACACAAAATGCTTGCGACTGCTTACAAAAATGTATGCAATATCAAGGAATGAAACGGATATCTTTGGAAACTAAGGAGAAATTCAGAGGAGGGAAATAATGAAAGCCCATAACTGTGCAGTAAGTTGTCCTGCACTGTTGTTAATGTGATCCATAAACTTGGCTTTGAAAACCCCAGCAGTCCAAAGCAAAGAGTGAACAATCTAACACAGGAAATGCAGAATCCATAAAAGAAAAAACTGGTACTTCTCAAGAGAAGTGACATCCTGCCTCCAAACTGAAATCTGGGAGGAATTCTTACATGACTCTACCCAAATATGAACAACCATTTCTTGTTAGATTTCTTAGGCTGAGTCATGTTGCCAAAATGTCACTCAAGCTCCTAATATTCGTATTCATAATCCCAGAAATTGGAAATAGTCTAAATGTCCCTCAAATACAGTACTGTCCAAATGTCTGACATTATACAGTTACTGAGAGGAAAGAGGAACAATTTAGGTTACTCATGTGAAACAGTTTCCGAAATGTGAAGAGGCCAGAGGCAGAACGCCTCTGACAGGGCAGTGCTTGTGAAAATGAAATAGAAATCATATGTACTTCTAAATGCTGGGTAGGACCTTTGTCCTTCCTAGAAGGAATTGTAAGAAACTACAACTGATACTAACTGTTTTTCTGGAGACAGACTTTTCCCTCTATAGCTGTTTGAACCTTCTGAACTTTGTAGCATGGGAATGTGTTATATATCTAAAACAAATCATTAAAAAGTATAAATGTGGCCAGGCAGTAGTGGTGCACGCCTTTAATCCCAGCACCCAGGAGGCAGAGGCAGGCAGATCTCTGTGAGTTCAAGGCCAGGCTGGACTGACAGCCTCCAAAACAATACAGAGAAACCCTGTCTCATAAAACCAAAAAAAAAAAAAAAAAAAAAAAAAGAGGTATCACTTTGTTCCTCAAACGACAATTTCCAACACCTTTATATACACACACCTGCTGTTAGAACCAACACATTCAGCAAAGGTTCAGGACACAAACTCAATACAAAATTCAGTTTTGGGGTTAGAGAGATGGCTCAATGGTTAAGAGCACTTATTGTTCTTGCAGAGGACATGAGTTTGGTTCCCAGCACCCACATGGTGGTTCAGGACCATGGTGTGTTTGTTTGAATAAAGCTCATATATTTGAATGCTCAGTTACCATTGAGTGTTACTATTAGAAAGGATTAAAAGGATTAATAGATGTCGATCTTGTTGGGGTTGACATTTCAAAAGTCCCTGCCAAGTCTAAAGTCTCTCTCTCTCTGTCTCTCTCTGTCTACAGACCAGAGTTCATTTCTTAGCTACTGCTTGGGTGTCTACCTGCACGCTGCCATGCTTCCTGCCATGATAATAATGGACTCAACCTCAGAGACTATAAGCAAGCCCCCATTAAATCTCTTTCTTATAATAATTGCCTTGGCTGTGGCGTCTCTTTACAGCAACAGAACAGTGACAAAGATAATGGATAACTCCAGTTCCAGGGGATCCAGTGCAAACAAAATACAAACAGAAGCAAAACAAACCAGTGTTTTGTTCAGAGTAGAAAACTTGATGCTGTTATAGAATTGCTACCGTTTGGATCTTGAAAATCCCCCAAAGGCCCTGCTGTCAGTGGCGTGATGTTGTTGGGAAGTAGCGGGACTTTTGAAAATGTTTATTTTTACTTCTGTGTGCGCCTGTTTATATGTGCACCACAGACCATTGCTGTGGCAACAGCCTGGGTGGGGAAGGCTGTTCCCTACGCTGTGACCAAGAAGCCAAGAGGAACAATAGCAGAAGGACTGGGGCAAGGTCTATGGTTATTTCCTTAACTTCCTGCTCAGATTTTCCATTGCTAGTATATGGAAACAAAACTGACTTAGTTGGGTTTAGATGTGTCTATTTTATGTGTATAGTGTTTTCCCTGCATGCATGTATGTGCTCCTGATACCTGCAAAGGATAGAAGAGGGTATCCGGATCGCTCAGAACTGGAGTTACAGACAACTGTGAACTCATATGTGGGTGTTGAGAACCAAACTTGCCCCTGCAAGAGCAGCCAGTGCTCTTACTGTTGGGATGGGTGGGACCTCGCAGAAGAAAGCTAATCATTGGAGGGAGGTGTGCCCTTAAAGAGGAAAATGGGCCCAGGCGTGCTCTCTCTCTGTGTCTCTGTCTCTGCCTCTCTCTGTCTCTGTCTCTGTCTCTCTGTCTGTCTCTGTCTCTCTATCTCTGTCTCTCTGTCTCTGTGTCTCTGTCTCTGTCTCTCTCTGTCTCTCTCTCTCTCTCTGCTTTCTGGCTGCCAAAGCTTTGTGTCCACTGTGATGCTCTGCTTGACCACATGCGTGGGAGCAATGGAGAAAAGCTGATGATGGACTGAAACTTGTGAAACTGTGAGCCAAGATAAGCCTTTTGCCTTTCCTATTCACAGATTAATGTGTTTATGTGTTTTGTCACAGTGATGGAAAGCTAAGCCAGATGTCAGTGTTATCCAGTGTAGTCTACAGTTCTAAATGCAATCCCCATTAAAACCCTAGTGACTTTTTTTGTGAGTATTGGTGGTGGTGGGGAGAAATCGGCTCTAAAATTCTCAGGATCTCAAGGAACCCTAAATAACCTACAAAACTGGAGGCCTCACACTTCCTGGCTTCAAAACCTTCTGCCACAAAGCTAGCATAGTCAAAACAATATGGTGCATCTCTAAGGATGTGTTGTATGTATCAGTGGACCAAAACGAAGAGACCAGAAAGCAGTTCTCAGACGTGTGATGCAATGATGTTGACAAAGAGATTGGGGTTACTCAGTGGTGGAAAGGGGTCTTCTCAACAAACGATGCAACATCTGTATGCCAAATAAATAAAAAACCAAAGCAGAAAGTTTCCTTTATAACACACACAAAAATTAGCTAGAAAACAAATCACCACCACCAACAACAAAAGGGATCAAAGACCTAAATGCGGGAGCTAAAACCTTAGAACTCTTAGAAGGAAACACAGGGAAAATCTTCATAATTTAGTAGTGAGTTCTTAGATATGAAAACAACAGGGTCAGCAAGATGGCTTCAGCAAGTAGAGGTGCTTGCTGCTAACATGATGACCTGAGTTCGATTCCTGGACTCACTATGTAGAAGGGACGATTGATTCCTGAAATTGTCCTTTGACCTTTACATGTGTGTAGCCACACACATACCACACATTAAATAAATTAGTAAAACATTTAGAACTGGAAAAAATGGGGGCTACAGAAATGGCTCACTGGTTACAAGTATTGGCTTGTCTTCCAGATGACCCAGAGTTGATTCCCAGAACCCACATGACGGCTCACAACCATCTGTAACTCTAGCTCCAGGGGATCTGACATCTTCTTTTGGCCTCTGTATGCACTGCACACATGTGGTGCACACATACATGCAGGCACAACACCCATATACATAAAAATAAACCTTTTAAAAAGATGGGCTGTATCACAACTAGAAATGTTTGTGCATCAAAGAAAGTAGTCAGTAGAGAGAGAATGGGAGGGTGTGCTTGCAAACTGTCTACCTGATGAGGAGCTAATTATCAGATTATACTAGGAACTCCTAAAAGCCAAGAAGAAAAAGTATTCAGTGATGAAATGAGCAAAGGAATGGGCAACAGACTTAAGAGACATTTTACATCAGTAACCTAGAACATCACAATGAGATTCCCACCTCACGCCCACTGAGATTGCTATTATAAAAAGGATACAGAAAGTGTAGGGGAGGCTGTGAAGTAGAGACTCCTGGGCTCTGCTGGTGAGAAAGCAAAGATGGCACCACTTCCAAGGGAAACTGCCTGGTGACTCCTCAAAAAATAAAAAATAGAGTCATCATAGGATCCTGTAGTTTCATTTCTGGAAACAGGGACTTGAATGTTTGCGTACGCCTGTTCACAGTAGCATTGTTCTTAATATCAAAAGATGAATGCAATATGGAAGTCCATCAACACATACAGGTGGGGCCAGGGAGATACGAGAGGGCTCAGGGGAAATGGTGCTTGCTGCCAGGCTTGATGATCTGAGTTCGATCCCCAGGGCCCACGTGGTGAAAAGCAAGAACTGACTCCCTTAACTTGTCCTCTAAATTCCACACACATGCCATACCATGTGTGTGCCCCAACAGATAGATAAATGAATAAATAAATAAATAAATATAAATTTAAAGAAATGTATAAGTAAACACAATGCAGGTTATAGTTTGGGTCCTGAATACCTGTGGGGTTGCAGGCCCTGAAAGGTTGGTTCCCAGGAGGGTGCTAATAGGAGGCTATGAAATCACTGGGATGCTTAGGTTGTTCAGAGGTATTCCTAGAGGGAACTGTGAGACTCTAGTCCCTTTCCCCTTTGTTTCCTGGCATATGTGGTAGTTTTGGTCTGTCTTTTTTTTTTTTTTTTTTTTTTTTGGTTTTTACGAGACAGGGTTTCTCTGTATTGTTTTGGAGGCTGTTGGTCCAGCCCGGCCTCGACTCACAGAGATCTGCCTGCCTCTGCCTCCCGAGTGCTGGGAAGTTTTGGTCTGTCTTAAACTCTCCTATGACAGATAAACAGCAGGCCCGAAACAATGGAGCAAATTGATTAAGGACTGAAATTTGTAAAACCATGAGACAAAAATGAAATCATATATATATATATATATATATATATATATATATATATATATATATGGTTTTTACGAGACAGGGTTTCTCTGTATTGTTTTGGAGGCTATCGGTCCAGCCCGGCATCGAACTCACAGAGATCCGCCTGCCTCTGCCTCCCGAGTGCTAGGATTAAATGCGTGCGCCACCACCGCCCGGCTTTCTTTATATTTTTGATCCCACAGATTCAAGGAGAAAGACCAGCAGCCTAAACTATCATGGCCAAATTAATTAAATCAAGCAATTAATTAAGGCAAAAATTTAAAAACTCCCATACATGGGCTGCCTCCCATGGGGATCGAGTGGTCAGCCTTGGACGTGAGTAGGATAAGGGCTTTTATAGTCTGGGGTTAGGGGCTTCTAAATGGGAGGATGTGGCAGACAAACAGGCAGGGCCACAGAAGCAGGGCACAGCAACCCCAGAAACAAAGACATGCTTGCAAGGTGGTCACAGCAAGGTGGTCACAACAGTGGTCATAACAACAGGTGGTTATAACAAGGCGCTCACAGCAACATGGTCATAGTAACCTTTTAAAACAAAGGCATGGTTACTGTTTCCTGGAACAGGCAGAACAGAGCCACTTGTACTTAGGGTTATAGGTCGGGCATAACCAAATTCCGGAATGAATCTCGTTTGTCTTTACTAGAAGACGGCTTCCAAGCCTAAGATGGAGGCAGGCTGACTCATCAATGAGTTTAATTATCTCAGGCATTTTGTAACACTGGCAGAATATTAACATGGTGTGCTAGCATATTCAATGCTATTCAGCTTTTAAGAGGGGTGAAATTTTGACACAAGCTGCAACATGGATGAAGATGCATGAGCACAAGTTCAGGACTTTGTGCTTAAGTAAAACAAGGCAGCTTCAGAAAGCAAGGCACACCCACCTAAAATCCCAGCACTGGGGGCGTGGAGGCAGGAAGAGCAGAAGGACAAAGTCATTCTCCTAACTCTGTGTAGCTATTCCAAGCCAGCTTGGGGTATGTGGGACCCGGTCTCAACAACAACAAGAAAACCAACAAGGGCTAGCAAGATGTTCAGCAGGAAAAGCTACTTGCCACCCAGCCTGACAACCTGAGTTCGATTCCTGGAGCTGACACGATGGAAGGAGAGAATTGACTCCCCCAAGCTGTTTTCTGGCCTCCAAGTCCAAGCAATCCTACACTACAGATGCATTCACACATACAATGCTCAGCACAAACATGTGCCACGCACATCACACTTCATGTTACACACATCACAAAGACACAAATATTGCCATCATACTCCACGCCTCACCACCCACTACATATCCACCACCCTTCACGCACAGCTGCAGGTCACACATGCCAGAAACGTAGCAACACCCCCCATCCACACACACCATACCCAGCACACACAGACCACACACCTCTTCCTATGTAGCACACACACACACACACACACACACACACACACACACACACACTGATCACCCGGTCAGTGGGCTCATTCAGACCCAGCCTGACATGCAGACTGAACCCAGATGTCTCCTGAGCGCTTGAAACATAAATGAAAATTTGCTGCTTTTCTGCATCAACAACCCCTTTTTCTCACTGCCTCAGCTCAATAACTCATGTGAAATGAGTCAATCAGAAATGTGTGATTCCCAGGACTCCAAGGAAGCCTGAGCCGCTCCTCCCAGCCACCAAATTTGTTGCTTCCTGCCCTGTTCTGCAATTCTACAGGGAGCTTAATGCCCTGAGAGCAGCAGAGGGAGAGTAACTCTAGGTAGGCTTCAGTTAGCATGAGAGAGCAGT